AGAATAGCCACTTTCAGTTAAGGCAAAGATTTTTTTTGTTCCAAGGCAAATGGCTATTTAGTATTATTTTTTATTTCCTCCCTCCTGGCCAAGCTACTTCCATGCCAATAGTTTGCTGGAAAGACCTTGCTGTACAGCTGAAGAAAAGAGGAAGGAAGGGAAGGAAAGTAAATATAAAGGGAAGGAAGGAGGGAAAGATAAATTCAAAGGGAAGGAAGGAAGGAAGGAAGGAAGGAAGGAAGGAAGGAAGGAAGGAAGGAAGGTTGGTTGGTTGGTTGGTTAGACAGCTTTTGGGGGGGGCTGGGAGGGGGACATTCAAAAGCAAGCCTCCTCCTCTCCATGACTTCCTACCTCCCCAAATCCATTCCAGATACAACCTAGTATTTAATCTGCATGCCTCTATTCAAACAACCTGCCAGACTAGGCTAAAGTGTAGTTGGGTCAGGATCTGCTTCAGCCTGTGGGGGGAAGAAATATGATTTGTGAACAGAACCATTAAGGCTAGTTTGGGGTGTAGTGTGTTGTGTGAATGAGACCCGTATGTTGTATCGAATTATTATTTGAATGGATATTCATGTTATTAATATACTGACCTTTCTCCCAATGGGAGCCCAATCAAGGCAGAAGAAATTAGTTCCAGTTTAGTGTGAAATGGAAAATAGATTTGGGGCACCAGCTGAGTAACAGAGCCAATACTGGTTTATTCTCTAAGCCACGGTAGAGTACAATCTCAGAACATAGTCATCAACTGGCTTTTGAGGTTGTAGTAAGGTTGTTTACAGATCACAATGGTTAGGTTTGTATAATAAGTAAAGCTGAACTCAAGCAACTTCCTGCTTCGTAAGTGGATAGAAAAGCCACTTCCATTTGAGTCTGAAGGAGAGGTGGCGAAAGCGTCTCAGAAGGAATCCTCCCTAGTTTTGGGGAGAGTAAAAGTGAGGGACAGGAGGGGTACTTTCAGGCTTCCAAGATTGATGCTAGCCTTGCAAGGTAGTCCAGACAAGAAGCACACCCAGGAGTTCTAGCTCTATCTTTATTGTAAGGTTAAATTAACAGAATCTTGCAAGTCTGAAAGTATATTGCCCCTCCCTTTCCTTTTACTCTCCCGAAAACTAGGGAGGGTCCCTGCTGAGACGCTTTCACCACCTCTCCTCTGTCTGACTCAAAGTTCATTTATCAGACCATTGTCTAGGCTGCAGCTCTTCCTCCTGTCTCCCAAGGTCTTTCCCACAGACCATTACACGTTTCCTAGTGGTCTACCATCCAAGTACTAACCAGACCTACTCCTGCCTAGTTTCTAAGCCCAGATAGAGCAGAGCAGGTACTGTCCTATTCCATTTCATCTTAAATGGGTATAAAAATGGGACATGACGCAGATGTGGCCCTATCTCCAGCATCTGAAACAGAATCTTTTCTACTGATGGTTCAAAGTGGCCCAAAATATCTCATTTCAGTACTAGGAAGAAAAATTATTCTGTTTTTTTTTCTACTAGATTTCATTCAATCGGATGAAAGACAATTTGCTTTCTAAACAGAATTTTCTTCTCTTCTGTGGAGCATGGTATGACTCCTGTCTTTTCATAATCCTGTACTATCTGCAACTTCCCTGGCTTTCCTGATTTCCATTTAATCCAAGGGAAGACATAGGAGTATTTACTTCCCACGTGGACAACCAAGAAGAATTCAGTGGAATGAAAAGATGTAGAACATAAAAGCCCAGCAAGCGTCCTCTCTCCAGCCATCTTCAGCCTCCCTGGCTTCTCTCCCTTCCCCTCAATCCAAGGGAATTTCTTTTTCCGATCAGGAGAGAAGAGGAGCCAGGGAGGCTGGAGAGGGATGGGAAGATGTGGAACAGAAACACACAAACACACAACTGTTCCCTCTCCAGCCACCCATAGTCCCTTTGGCTTTTCATACTTGCATTTCATGCGAAGGCAAAATTAAAAACACCAACAAAAAACAGCCACTCAGTTCCTCTCCCTACAAACTGGGTGGAGATTTTCCACAAGACCTTTCTACCTATCTCTGTCCTGTTTCTGAATACTAAACAATTACACACACAGTGTTTGGCCACTATGTCACTAAGAGAAGCACACAATCCACCCCACCTATGAAAATATGACTGAAATGTTCTTTTTGGGAGAAGGGGGAATTAAAAGCCAATGTTTTCAACATCAACCTGAATAAACATGGTTGGGAGGGAAATGACACTACTAATAATTTGAGCAGGTTTGGGGCTGAAGTTGACCGTTCTTAATCTAAATCAAATGTCCAATTTAATATGCAGAATATTTTGCTGGTTACATTACACATTTTGTAATGTGAAATTATCCTTAAAAAGGAGAAGGAAGAGAAAAGAGAGGACCGTGATGGATAAATAAAAAATAAACTGAAAATCCAGGAAGGGTATAAAATGCAAACGGATTATTTCCTTTATAATTCTGTTATAAACAGAATCCCATGGAAGTATGGAGGCTGTTAAATGGTTTACTGGATATAAATTTAGAATGCACTCTCCCCTGCCTTTTTGTTATTATAGTTTTTAACTGTTTTAACTGTATTTTAATGGTTTTGTTTTAATTATGTTGATTGTTTGGCTTTGTTTTTAATTGTACACACCACTCAGAGTCACAAGTTAACATGGGCAGCTATATAAATGTAATAAATAAACAACATTTTGTTTGCTTCTAGGAGTTATTTTCTGACTATATGAAGCAAAGGCAGGGTGGGGAGTGAATAAATTACATAGAACCCCATGATGTGGGGGGGGGATCCAAGGAGAGAAAAATCTCTTCTATTTTGCTATTTTTTAACCTCCAGATTTCATTAATTAAATCGAGAGATCTCCCCCAACCTTGTCCCATACTCCTGTTTTTCAGGAGAAAGAATCAACAATATAGGACTATGTAATGTAAGTTGGCTGACAACACTTTGTTGTATAACTGTTTTGTTTTGTGTGGGGTGGGGAACCTATGTGATTTTTCAGAAACTGGAACCTCTCTACAAAAATAAAGTTTAAAAAAAGTTCTGTCTTGTGGAATTTGAAATATTCAGGTTTCTTGCAACTCTGGCCTGGAAATATGTTCCCTTTGACACATTATGGGACTAAGCACAATTTAGTTACCCTCTGAAGTGTTTGCACAACACACTGGTCCAGGTCATGGTGAAAGACCTGATGGCTGCCTTTGCACAACCAGCCAAACTTGCTTGGTGTTAACCTTAATTAGATTTTGTCTGGTGTTCTAATCAGCTCCTGGGTTCACATGGTGCATTGAGCCCTCAGCCAGGT